ACCCGTGCGACGTGTGCGGCCAGCGATTTCGCTTCTCCAACATGCTCAAGGCGCACAAGGAGAAGTGCTTCCGTGTCACCAGCCCCGTCAACGTGTCAGCTGCTGTCCCGATCCCGCTCTCCACCACTTCTGCCACCACGGTCCCTGCTGTAGTGAACGCGCCCACCGGCCCAGCGCCACCCATCAACCTGAACCCAGTCAGCACGCTGCCTCCGCGCCCCATTCCCCACCCGTATTCACACCTTCACCTACATCCTCATCCTCACCATCCACATCACCTCCCGGTGCCCCCAGTCCCTCATTTACCCCCTCCTCCAGCTCTTTTTAAGAGTGAGCCTTTAAACCACAGAGGCCAGAGTGAGGACAGCTTTCTGCGACACCTGGCAGAAAAGAACAGTTCAGCACAGCACCACTAACGTCTCTGCTCCCTGCCAGCTCTTTCCCATTTATGCACATGGAAACCTGCCCTCCTGGCAGTCCAGGAGGGTTGGGTGGTGAGGATCCTTGTCTTTCCCTTAGCCCCAGCACACGGTCGCGATTCTACCCCTTGAATCAGTTCCCAACCGAGGAAATCCTGTTTCGGATCAGCAGTGCTCCTCTGAACCTGGGACCCAACAGGACTTCAACCCCATTTGCTTGCGTTTTGCTGGTGACTTTTCTACATTTCAGATACTGAGACTTGTGGGATTTTCTAATTTCATATCAGCTGATGAGGTATGCTTGCTTTTATAGCCTGGCCTTCTCCTCAAAGAGGAGACAGGCCTGGTTTTCCTTTGTACTAATCGGAAAGGCTGTGAGATTAATACAGAGCATTAATTGTATCACTGTGTATCGTAATGGATTCTTTTCAGCTTTTGGGGCCGGCTGTGGAGTGAGCCAGCCACGTATCACGGTATATTTGAGCATTATAAAGAAAGACACAGAAATGTCTTGTTTGTGTAGCTCTCCTAACACACTCTTTATTTTACTACAGAAATTATTTTAGAGGTTTTTGTATAGACCTATTTAGTAGTCTGTTTCTAAAATGAAATGTATTTCAATAAGCGGTGTAATTTTTTCAGTGTAGCTGGACCTATGTTGTATAATAGAAAAATTTTTATAATCATCAAAATGTGATTCTTAAAAAGATGCATAAAGCTTCTAGAGTTAAAGTTATTCTTACAACCATACAACTTAAACGGTGCTGCAGAGAAGAAAGGAGCCCAAGAGGTCTCTGGAAAGGTTGTCTCCGAAGTGATGGTGATTTAAGGACTTTAATTTATTTTAGTAGGGCTTGTTTTATTCCTTTTTAAACCTTATGTTTCCCTTTTCACAGTTTTGGACAAGGACATTGGGATACCACATTCCCACCGCACAGGTTTTCTTGGGAGGTATGGATGGGTTAGAAAAGGAGCCCCTTACACATAGGAACCCGCTGCTTTAGGAATAGAGAGTCACAGGAGAATGGGAGATGGGACGGCAGAGAGGACATCGAGTACCTCAAATCAGCCAAGCATCTTTTCTCTCGAGGAGAGCTGGGTTTAGTGGCTTTTCATGCTATGATTTGAAGTTGGGGATCACATCCAGTGCTGCTCTTCAGATTGCCTCTTGGAATTCCTGGAGTTGTTAGGAGAGGGGAATGAAGGGAGATCATGAAATGGGGTGTTTCTGACTGCTTGACTGTAAGAGAAGAGAAGTTTGAATGAGACGATGGTGTTTCGGTTGCATTGAGGAAATGCTGATAGCGCTGTATGTACCATGGGCAGCTCCATCCCATAAACGTAATGTGCATAAAAAGATGGGATGATTTCTAGGGGTCATAGTCATGGCAAAGCTAAGTTTTCCAGTTGTAGGATAGGAAACTTTGAATTGTAGGCATGTCACTGTTTCATAATCCCAGGAGGCAGTGAGGGGGGAATGGCAGGTTTAGTGCAGGGCTGGTGGGCTGGAATGCCAAATGTCTCTGTTTTAACCAGTGAGTAGCTGTTATTTTTTCAGGTTTGTATTTCTCTTCAACTAAAACTAAATATAGCAGCATTATGCAATCTAGGAACTTGTTGCCACCTTCACTGACGACAGAGGCCCAAGGCAATGTACTGTAAGTCCTCTTTTCCTTAAAATTCCTACTTTTCCGTGCTGCTTTTTGAATTAAATCCCACCAAACTGCATCCAGAGATCCTCATAGGCCAGATGTCTGCTAGCTAATGAAGCGGGGGTTTGTGGCTGATGGGATTCTTCCTGGGGTTACTTCCTCCCAGTTAACACTTTGAAGTGTTTTGAACCACCAGGTCCTCTGTTGAGAATGAGCTCCTTGGGTGATGTTCTGGTCTTCACTGTTTTTTACCACCTTACCGTTCATGGTGGGGTCTTTCATAACAAGCATAGGAAAGTTTAGGACATAGAAAGGGCAATTTGTGCCCAGAAAACCTCCTCAGTTTTGACTGAGCTGAACCCCCTGAATAATAAAGCAATGTTTTTTTACGTGTTTTCTCTATCATATTTATATGCACCCTCTACCTTCTAAAAGCAAAAGCCAGTTATGGAACTGAATTCCCACTCATGATGATGCTGACTGTTGTAATTGCTGTGGCTGGTCCGCCCCGGAGGTTCTATGCATTCCACGTCACCTTTGCAACCTACGTTTCTGTCGTGCCACTCTTTTCTGGTCAGGCCTGTTATGAACTGATTTTCAAATGCTAAACCAGGAAATAATAATAATAATAACCTCGGTAAATGGATTGTATTCCAGTTTTGCAAAATGATTTTTCTTCTCAATAAATTTCCAGTATTAGGCTGCTATTTGGAATTCCAAAATCTGGGACAGTTTTGTTCTGTTATTTAGTTCGCAGCAATGATGCACTTTGTATTTCTTTTTCCTTCCGAGACTTCCCAACTTCCTTTCTGTGGAAGAGGGTTAAACTGTCGAGCCCATTTAATAGTCTGTCAGGGTGTGACCTGATGTCAACTGATTCTCCTCAGTATCTGGGACAAGTACCAAGAGCTGGGCTAAAAGCGTTGCAGTGTGATAGCTGAGAAAGTCCATATTCCAGCAGGAAAAGGAAAACGGGCGTTCCGAAAGGCAGAGGAAATTCAAGGATGAGATTTGCTGTGGCTTCTGCTTAGGTGTGCATTGCTCTGCACAGCTCCTGCAGTTTGTGCAGCGCTATGGAGCCTGTTCCGGTGTGTTCATGACTTTCTGCTCCTGCTCACAAACCAAGTGTGATGGTTTGTATCAGCTTGTCCGTATTGAGTAGTTAATGGGGTTGCTTTGTGGTGTTAAAACACTTCCTTCAAGAAGAGCAAAGATGAATGATGCCAACTGCACCTCTTCAGCAGGGACTGTAACGACAGGACAAGGGGTGACAGGGGAAGTTCAGGTTAGATCTAAGCAGAAGTTTCTCCAAGCCCTGTCCAACCTGGCCTTGAGCACTTCCAAGACTTGGAGACGTGGCAGAAGAATTAACACCATCCTTAAATAAAGGCAAGCCTTTGCATCTCCTATGGATGCTAGGAGAAAAGTCCTCTTTTGGCTCCACATGTGTCCTCAGTAAGAATTTTACCCTGGCAGCAACAAGGAAATTTGCAGGTTTTCAGCCTCTGACCTAACTCCGACCAAGGACTGAGAACTGCATGAACTTCATGGCTGCTTTCTGACCCAGCAGGATAGTTTCTGCCTGCCTTAACCTGTTCCAGTTTGTTTTAATGCCTGAGCAGTGGTCGTGGCTCACAGGGGCTCCCTCTGATCTCAGCAATAACCAGTGTGTTTTGTGGCCAAGGCCACGTTCTCTGTTGCATGAGCGTGGGGTAAAGATCGGGCTGGGCTGTAGTGGTTTGGGGTGGAGGTTTGGGTTGCTTTTAAATTGGCGTGTATGGCCCCTACATTTTATTGACTTTATTTATTCCTTTCTTGCTCTATTCCTGCCTTTACAGATTGGCATTGGCAAATACCTTCTGATGTAATGTCTTGGAATATTGAGAATGGCTGCCTGTGTCCTGAGTCATGGCCTGCATGTATGTGCAGAGTGGATGTGTTTTGCAAGGCAGGGCATCTCTGTACCGCGCGCTCGGGTACACGAGCATGTAGCCAAAGGAGGCTCCCCAAGAACACAGCTGCTCTGGATGTTTGCTAAACACTTCTGTCACCTTTGTCTCCCTGATCGCTCTGAGTCAGCCTGCAGTGGGTGTGTGTGGTACGTGCGTGCATTGGTAACCTTCATTCTCCATGCTCCCAGGCTCTTTGCTGCGCATCAGAACTTTGTAACGCATGGTTTGGAACTGAGAACTGATGTGGAACTTTCCACCCAAAAGGAAATGCAGCTTTGGGTTGGATTCCTTCTCCTGAAGAGCCTGCCCGGGCCCTGGGCACAGTGTGGAACCAGGCCACAAGGCCCCTGTGGAAGGGCTCTATTAATTATTATCTTCCCCTTGGAGAACTGTGCCCAGGGTCATTCCTGTTTCTTCTAACGGGCCTACACAGCAGCACTAGCATCCCCTCAGTTGTTTTGGATCTTGTTTCTGCACAGAGGAGGAATCTGTAATAGCCCTGATGAGTTGATGGCTTTCCATGGGAATACATGGAATTCCTGAATGAGGTGTCTGGTGTCCCAAAGGGCCACTGAAGCCTTGTGACTTCTGTGGAGCCAGGCTGAGAGAGCTGGGCTGGGTCAGCCTGGAGAAGAGAAGGCTCCTTAAGGGGAGACCTGAGAGCAGCTCCAGTGCCTGAAGGGGCTGCAGGAAAGCTGGAGAGGGGCTTGGGACAAGGGCCTGTAGGGACAGGCCAAGGGGAATGGCTTTAACCTGCCAGAGGGGAGACTGAGCTGAGCTGTGAGGCAGAAGCTCTTCCCTGGGAGGGTGCTGAGGCGCTGGCACAGGGTGCCCAGAGAAGCTGTGGCTGCCCCATCCCTGGCAGTGTTCAAGGCCAGGTTGGACACAGGGGCTTGGAGCAAGCTGCTCCAGTGGAAGGGGTCCCTGCCCGTGGCAGGGGTTGGAGCTGGATGAGCTTTAAGGTCCCTTCACAACCCAAACCAGGCTGGGATTCTGTATATTGACCAGGTAGGGTCTTGCCTTAACAGCTGGTGGGGAAATGCCCCATCCCTTTCAGGGAAGTGGGATTGACTTTTCTGGTACAGCACTGAACCGATCAGTTGTGGACAGATTGGGGTTTGTGTTTGTTTGGGGCTGTTTTGGTGGGTTGGTTGGTTTGTTGGGTTTGGTCTGTTTAATGCAGCAATAACTCATTAGCGAAGCTTCTTGAGTGCCATGGGAAGGTTGTGAAATGAGTGGTTGCTCCATATGAAAGTCATAACAAGGCTTGTTTCTCAGAAATGCATAGCAAGGATTTCTCCCTACATGAGAAGTTGTGTAACGCATGGGAGGAAGGGGGAAGGATGGGCGCGTAGGGAACTGAAATTGCCTTTCTGAACCCCTCTTAATGCCTTTTGGTTCCTAATGAGAGCTGATATGATAGTAGCAAGAAGTGAAGGGATTTAAAGTCAGGAGGAAGCTGCAGCACAGACCTGCAGCAGCCAAACTGCTGGAAGCCCTCATCACCAGTAACCCTGCACAGAAAAGCCAGTGGGGATCGGTCCCTGTTGCTCATTTGACCTGAGCAAAGGTGAGTGTGTTGTGGCCAAGTGCTCTTCCTCTTTACAAGCTCCGGTTGCAGTTTCACCTTTAGCTCTGCCTGCCTGCAGTCTGAGAACAATAACCAAGGGGCAGCTGATAGCGGGACACAACTTTGTCCTCAGCCACTCGTGTGCTGCTGCCGTGCACTGCACGTATGGGAGTTAAAGGCTGTGTGGTGATGTATTCATTCAGATCGGTGGTGTATTCGTTCACGTTGGTGGTGTATTCCTTCAGATTGGTGGTGTAATCGTTCACATTGGTGGTGTATTCATTCAGGTTGGTGGTGTATTCGTTCACATTGGTGGTGTATTCCTTCAGATTGGTGATGTATTCATTCAGATTGGTGGTGTATTCGTTCAGATTGGTGGTGTATTCCTTCAGATTGGTGGTGTAATCGTTCACATTGGTGGTGTATTCCTTCACATTGGTAGTGTATTCCTTCAGATTGGTGGTGTATTCATTCAGATTGGTGGTGTAATTGTTCAGATTGGTGGTGTATTCCTTCAGATTGGTGGTGTAATCGTTCACATTGGTGGTGTATTCGTTCACATTGGTGGTGTATTCGTTCACATTGGTGGTGTATTCGTTCACATTGGTGGTGTAATCGTTCACATTGGTGGTGTAATCGTTCACATTGGTGGTGTAATCGTTCACATTGGTGGTGTAATCGTTCACATTGGTGGTGTATTCCTTCAGATTGGTGGTGTAATCGTTCACATTGGTGGTGTATTCCTTCAGATCGGTGCTGTATCCGTTCAGATCGGTGCTGTATTCGTTCAGATCGGTGCTGTATCCGTTCAGATCGGTGCTGTATTCGTTCAGATCGGTGCTGTATTCGTTCAGATCGGTGCTGTATTCGTTCAGATCGGTGCTGTATTCGTTCAGATCGGTGCTGTATTCGTTCAGATCGGTGCTGTATTCGTTCAGATCGGTGCTGCATTTGCAGCTGCACGGTACCCCTGCAGCCATGCACCGAGCTGAGAGCTTGCAGCACATTACAGAACCGTTTCCAGTTTTGCTTTCCCACCAGGACTCCAGCCTATTCGAGTTACTTCTTCCCCAGGAACTCAGTGCAGGCACTGAAGTGAAGGGGTGTTTGTGTCCTCGCCCTATAAAATCCTGGTGTGCTTTCATCCGGACCTCGCAGGCTGCGAGAATCGCTTCACACCTTTAGCAGGAAGCCAGCTTTCTCAATCAGCTTTGAGTCAGACTGGGAGGAAGGGTTGTAAAGAGACCTTTGCTGCTTGAGGGCTCGCGGTGGTGGTCACTTGAGCAGCCAGGCTGAGTAAATGTAGTGTGTGGCTGTCAGGCGAGTCAATAACCCTGTTGTGCAGATGTGGAACCTGCCTGCCACGATGCCAGTGAGTGACAGTGGGCACCAGTGCTCTGCTATTTCTGACCCAGACAACTGTCCCCAGCCCAGGATCACCATTTCCCCTTTCGGTTCTTAGCTCTTCTGCATCATTTCCTCTCTAAGGTTTTTCAGGCATGGATGGTGGCTGTAATCATAAAGGAGATCACAATCGGTTGCCTCTTTGTGGTTGCATTTTGCTTACCTACGGGCAAAAAGCTGGGGACACAATAAAATAACAACGGGGAAGTCTTGCTCAGCTCACAGTGTGTTTGTGATCGCTTGAGCAAAGCAGGGAACAGGACATAGAGTTTCAGCTGGAGAGGCCTCGGATAATGATCCATAAAATTAGTTCAGACTGAAAAATGATTCCTTCCAAGCAGCCCAAGCATGAAGGTATCAGCTTTCTGCTAAGCCTTAGGTCCCAGTCCAAAGGTCTTGAACGGGACCTAGGCTTTCTTAACTGTGCTCTGATTCTTAGGCAGCTCCCGTGATCCCAGCAGGATCCCTGCACCTCCCTTCCACAGCGCAGCTCCTGCAGGGTGCTGCAAGGAAATGCATCCTATGTGGCCAGCGAGCTTGGATTTGCCTTTAGCTGCCCACTGGCCCAGATCCCAGGGGCAGAAGGAGAGCACCAAGGAGGCACGTTCCCTAACTGTCCATTCCGTGCGGTAATGGAAAATGATTCATCAGCCATCACCAAGGAAACAGGGAGCAGGTCAGAATATGCTGCTTTACCTGGACTCAGGGTTTGGGTTCTTACAGAAACCGTGTCTTTAGAGTTCTTAATTCATAGGAAAATTCCTGCTTGGCCTGAAAAGTTGGCTGGGGTTCTGTGGGTACTGAAGCTACTACCAGAAAACAACTGGATTTTACTATGCAGTGACTCATGGATTGTAATTAACTCGGTTTAGATGTGTTTTCGCTGCTGACAGTAATCCAGCTATGCCTGCTCTGCCCAAAACTGATGGTAGATTGACACAGAAGAGAAATCCAGTTTAGTTTAAACCAGTGTAACCCGTGGTACCTTGTGGTGCTGCCGGAGCTCTTGGCTTTCCCATCCCGCAGAGAAATCGTTCCCCAGGCAGCTGCAGTTTAATCTGTGTCCTTTCTGTTGAGGAGAGCCCTGCGGAGGAGCCGCGGGAGGAGGATGAGCCAGGAGATGGCAGTGGAGCTGATCGCTGCCTGCTTCTCCAGGCAGCAAATGAAGCGGATGAAGGAAGGCAGCTTCTGCTCTGCCAGTATCCAGACTGGGATCCGAAGTAACTCACTGAAGTGGGAAACATCTCCAACGTGCAGCTTGTTCCTAACTCCTTGCTAATGCCCTGGTCCCTCAGGCGATCACGTTGCTGAAGTGCTTCCCTAATGAGAGCCGCTGAGCACTGTGTCCGTGTTGCAGTGACTCCTCATGGCTCTTGCCAGCTCAATTGTCTGAGCTCCTTTAGGAATTGCACTGAGGCAGAGCCCAGAGTTTTGTCCTCGAGTGTTTTCTAAACGCACTCAGCACCTGGGGGCTGCGATGAGACGTTTGTCACTCCGGTCAGCCTCTTCAGAACCCGTTGTGCTGATCAGTGTCAGTTATGTTGGGTGACTGGCAGGGAGTCGGAGGCTTTTTAGGCTTGGGTTATGACAAAGCAGGCTGAGATTGGACTTGCTTCCATGGGTGAGAATAGGATTTCCAGCAGGATGAGGGCAGCGTGCTCTAGGAGAGCTGCAGGTACTGAGAGCATCACCTTGCTCTGCTCACCAGCACGGTGGTGAGAGCGTGGCCAACGTGTCCTGTGTGGAGATGATCAGTGTTACCTGGGCATCTCCTGTGCCAGCTCAGCAGAAGCTCATCCCATCGAATGAAAAGCCCAGTCTTGCTGCCTACATTTCCTGTTTTCTCCATGTTATATAGAACTGAACATATAAAATACAGTGGCTGCTGATGGGCAGTGAGCTAACCACTGCTCTGGTGAGTCCTTATTGGGGACTTTCAATGCTAAATACAAAACCAAAGCCCATGTCAACAGGAGGAACGCAGGGAGGTTCCATGAAGTGAATGGAGCTCGCTGTTGTCTTGCTTGTTAGTTCTTTAAGGTTTTCCTGATATTGACCATATAAATATTATTCAACCACCAAACCTCTGTTGCTATAAAAGACACTTTATTAGAGAACACTGTTGAGACAGCAGGAAGTGACTGGCTGCAATTGATGGTTCCTTTATCCATGTGCCTTGGAGACTGAGCCATAGGGATAGTAAAGGAAAGCTTTGGTTTTACACGGAGCTCATGGGCACAAGGGGGTCTGGCACAGATTCCATGGGTAAGCCATAACCCAGCTTGCTCTGTGCGCTGCAGGATGGAGGTGAAGCAGGGGAGGGATAGGCCACAGGACGTGGATGCTGCGGGCTTCAGCGCTGGTTGATGGGTGCTGATGCAACCTCGGGGGTGAGAAAGCGGGACCCGCTCCAAGGGAAACGTGCAGCGGGCGAGGGCCGCCTGCCTGTCCCGGGGCTGCAGGGAGCCGGCTCAGCCCATGCAGCAGGCGCTGTCCTCACTTGCTCTCCACGGTTCTTAACAGTGGAAAATCACTGGGATACGAGGATCGCTCCCTGCCAGGCTCCTCCGTCTGCCATGGGTCGGGAACGATCTTTGCCCCACTGCCCCTCAGGGGGAAGGAGATGGGAGGCAGCAGAGAAGTTGCCCTTTTGAGGGCCGCGTACCCACTGCTGCGGTTTGAACACGGCTGCTGGGTTAACAGGGGCTGGTCTAGCTCCAGAGGTGGGGAACACGTAAGGAGGGCAATCATAGCCCACACTGCCGGGGAAGCGGGGTGCGCTCTGCCTCAACCCCCCCGAATGCCTCCGGCTCCATGAGGGATAAACCAGTTCCCTGGTAGCCGGGTTGGTGCTGGGGGAGGCTGCCGCTGTTGGCACATAGCGGAGGGCGTCCTTCAGCAGCAGGGCGAGGCTGAAGGTCTCAGAATAGCAGCGGTTTGGCCGCAGCAGCGCTCGGGGCTCTGACCGGTGCCAGCCGGGGGGCATGGAGAGCTTCGGGGGTTACCGCTTGGGCGCGACGTGGCGGCCCCCGGAGCAGCGCCGGGCACAAAACCGCGGCCTTTTTGCAGAGCTTTGCCCTTTTATTTGCGTCCTTCTATTCTCGACCGGCCCTAATTAAAGGCAGGGCAAAACCCAGCCTCGGACGGGCGCGTCCCCTCCCTGCCGCCGGGCTCGGAACAAGCGCGGCTCTGTGCGGTTACCGGCGCTGTGCGGGCTCCTGCGAAGCCCCCGGTGCCGCGGCACCGCCGCGCTGCAGCCCAGGGCAGGACGTGGGGTGCGGGCGCGCCCGTG